AAAAGTTTATAGAATAGAAGAGCTCAGTATATTCGCAAACAAGTGTTTCAGTTTTTATCTATTTAGAGTTTTTTGGCACTTACAACATAAATAAACCACATAAGTGCCAAAGAGTAGAGGCATTACTAGAGCATAAAATACAACGAAAAGAAAGAGGAGAGATAAGAACGGCAATTGTTTGATAGGAAAGAAGGAGCAAACCACACCAGAGTACCTGCCAACCTCCCACACAAACATATGTTGCACCACCGCTGGTGACTAAGTTCTGAGAGTAGCCAAGGGTCAATTGGCTTCATCTGCAATTAAAAGTTTTCATTTTCCACCACCAGGGAATAATTCTCACAACATGAACGAAGATTTAAAAAAAGCTTTGTAAATTCAGAGAGTGAATGAAACTTTAAGATTACCTAATACACAGAAGTTCACAAAAAACAAAATCTGCAGGATCACTGGACTTTGTTAGGTTTAGCCTGGTTTCTTGTTTAGAAAGGTTGCTCCAACAGATAGGGGAAAAAAAATTGGGGATTACATGTATATGCACACTAATGGATATGACACATCTATGTGAGAGTGCCATATCTTCTATGCTCTTCCTGCCTATGAACACCATGAGCTCTGCGAACGTCTGTGTCTGTCCATCTCTGCATGTGTCTTTGTGTGTGTGTGTGTGTGTGTGTGTGTGTGTGTGTGTGTGTGTGTGCTTGTGATTTGTGTGTGCATGTGTGTGTGTATACGTTTGTAATCTGTGTGTTTTTATACGAGTGTCTGTGTGTGTATGAGTGTGTGTATGAGTGTGTGTGTATGTGTATTTGGTGGTTGGGAGGGGGGGTGCTTTCTTTGCAGTGAAGGTGGGAAAAAGTAACATTAAGTATATGAATTTAACGCCCCTATCAACATTATTTTGAGGCCAGACCTCAGAATTAAATGCCCGTCTCAGGTACGACTAAGTGAAACAGGTTGAGTGAGAGCCTCAAAATCTCAATATAAGGTCCACGAAGCTCAAAATCATCTGGGATTCGAACAAGGGCCATTTGCTCCACAGTCTACCATACCAAATTCAGCTAGAGAGGAAGAGAGAGAGAGAGAGAGAGAGAGAGAGAGAGAGAGAGAGAGAGAGAGAGTGTGTGTATGTGTGTGTGTGTGTGTGTGTGTGTGTGTGTGTGTGTGTGTGTGTGTGTGT